AAAGAAACGTTTCGCCCCTCATCCAAGAGGCTTCGTCAGTCTGAGGCAGGCAGGCTTGAAACACAAGAGTCAGGGTGGCTTCTGGGTAATACCAGATGGCTAGGCCTCAGACTGACGAAGCCTCTTGGATGAGGGGCGAAACGTTTCTTTTTAACAAAAAAAACGAAGTCCAGATGACATGATTCAACCTTTTTTGTACTACAAACTAATTAACATTTATTCTTAAATTTGATAATAATCACTAATTACTGTCAAATTTCAAACAATATTATCGTTTATCGCAATTTCTGAGACAATTTATCACCCAGCAAAATTTGTTATCGTGACAGGCCTACTGTAATCTCTCGATTTTCTGTATATTTCTTGCACTTACCAAGGGTGTTTTATTTTATTATTCAAAATGACCTCACACTGTATGTGTTGCGTTTACTTGCAGCCGGATTGCAAATATCTGATTCAGCTGCGAGCTGAAGGCAACGACCACATTGAGCGGGCTTTGCCTCAACACAGAGCGATAGAGGTAGGTCAAAACCCCACCACCCAGAGGTGCTGTTGGCTTTTTCAAAAGAGAAAAAAAACGGTTGTGACATGTAAGTGCTGATGTGTCATGAAAATATTATAGACTGTCTAAAAAAGGCCTAACATGATGATCTTTCCCTCTGATTTGTGCTCTGACACACTGAGCCTTGAGTTCAGTGCTCGACAGCCTGTACCTTTTCATCTCAGACCTGAATGTTCCAACACAACAACAGGCAGGTTTTCAAGAATAATTACTAATGATGGTTCTGTCGTTCTCTTCAGACAGCCTGAAGTCTTCTTATGATTTTGATTGAGGTTTAATTTGTTACCACCCGATGCTGATCTTTAGAATTCAGGAATGGCCTGAATGGAAAGCTGAAATATTGATGTTATGCTTCAACTTTATAGCTATTTTACAGTGTGCTAAATTTAAAAATGCACAATTGTGATTAAAGAAATTTGGTTTTACTGCTTTTGGGGCTGACCAATATTGTGCACACTCCTGAGAAATGCCCTCTACATTGACTCTTGTTGCAGGAGGAGCAGGTTTGATTGACAGAAAGGTGTAGTTAGCGTCACGATACGATGTTAAATTACTCGGTATGTTCAAGCTTAAAGTCAGTGTTCAGCCTAAATCATGGGTCTGCAACCTTTGTGATTAAAAAAGAGCCATTCTTACCACTTTGCTTTATAATTACGATGTGTCCACGAAACCTGCAACAACTGCGTACTGTCAACTGGTGGCTCATGGGCCACTACAAGTTTGTTGGAGATGGCTTTTCCTTCCAGTGGGGGTGATATTATAAAATGAAAAATGTCTTACTATTATTAACATTTATTGGTAGTTTTACATTTTAATACAAAAGACCAGGTTCATGTAAAAAAAAAAAGAAAACGTAATTTTTAACAATTTTATAACAATTAATACACTGAACTCTGCAGGCTGATGTGAGTTCTCTTAATTGTTCAAGAATTAAGTATTCTATTTAAAGCATAAAGTTAAAGTCTTTTAACAGCATTTGGCTGCAGTTTTATCAAAGAATGCTTATAATAATTTTTAGCAGCCATCAGCCACCCAGTATTTACAAACATATTTTTTAAATTCCTAAGTGCGTTGTGGATTTTGTTTCCATGTAAAGGTAAGTTTTCAGGGTAAACAACTGTTTACACAACATTGATCCAATGAAAACTGAAAATTTTCCCATTTCTATTAACACATTTACATGAAAACGTTCTAATTACAATCTGTTTACACAGCAACGGTAGACGTGGAAAAGGTGTAGTTCCCTTGCCACGCCACTAGTTGGTGCTATTTTTTTTTAAACTTTGAAGCAAGGGATGGCTTCGACAAACAAAAGTTCTTTCTCATCGAGTATAATGTTTACAAACTTATCCCACCACTGGCTTGTCCTCCCAGGTCGCGTCCAGTAGCGCCTCCTAGCCGTGTTTCTTCTTCGCATACATCCGTTAAGTAACGGAGTGGAGCTGTATGAGATCTGTCTTCGATGATTTCATTAAAGAGGTAGAAAATGAGCACCGTGTTGGAGAGCCGTAGTTAGATTTATAAGAGTCAGAAGCACAAACTCTGGTATCCGCCATTGTCGATAGTTTCTTCTTCTGTGGATTGTAGGAAGCCGTTATGTTTTGGGTCATACTGCGCATGAGCCACGGATTCCCTCACAGAAAACATTTTTTTTTTTTCTGTTTACACGACAATGGACACCGGGACCCATTCTCAAATTGTGCCGTTCTTAGACAAAACATTTGCAATTTTCGTGTAAATGAACAGTACAAACAACGAAACTTCTCCACTTTCACCAGAAATCGTTTTTGTGTAAACGAGGCCTTAGTATTTTATTTTTTTAATTATTTACTTTTTTTATTGAAAGCATTCTAAAAAGTTCAAGAAGTGTATTGAAAACTGTAAAAATAAAAAATAAATAAATTTGTGAGAACCCGTGATTATGACTTAAATCTCCCTGATCAAATGAGCCCCTTTATTTAAACAAAGAACAAAAGCAGCTATAATACTCCCCCCCCCCCCCCCCCCACACACACTAAAATCCGACCTCTCAGTTCATCATTTTTCACTCGTTTGAAAACTGCAGTCAGCTTAATCTGTCTCGCAAGGCTGGAAATGCCCTAATTCCCCCTAATTCTCTGTTATTATCAAACCATGTGACTTGAACAAAAGCGCTCTCCCGCTTCACGTTGGCGAGGCTTCTATTATTCCATTAAGCTTCGGGTTTAACCTTGCAGGTTGGCAGCAGTGACATTGAAGGGGTCAACATCATCGCCTTCAGGCAGATCAATCAGTTTGACCTCAGTGGAAACATCGTCACGCCTCCTGAACATCTCCCAACGCTATCGGTACGATTATCCTCATTCACTGAACTTGTGTTGCAATATTTTTATCATGTTAGGTGTTGTTACATTCCACTGCTGCTGATTACTCCTCCCACCTCCTCTTTGTTTCAGGTGAAGCTGTACAAGAGCGACAATCTGGACAATCCAATCAACAGTGTTTCTCTGGGGCAGTCCCTTTTCTTCCACTTCCCTCCTCTGGACCGGGACGGCGAGGTATCCACTAATCCTCAGCCTTTTCCTCTTGAAACTCTTTTACAGCTAAACGTTTAGAGCTGTTCGTCCCTGAAAGGCAAAAGTGAGCAATGATGTTTTTGCGTGCGCACACGTGTTTGATACTGAAGTATCTCATGAACCACTGGATGAATTTTCATGTCACTATAGCCTGACCAATATTGAAATTATGGCAATCGCCGATACAGATATTGTGAGGGGAAGGCGCCAATAATGGATATAATGGCTGAAAATATTTGAGCTTTGTCCACCCCCAAGAATCTAAGAAAACAGCTACTTTTAAATCTGTTTTAACAAGAAGTCTTGAAACAGTCTTCCTAACATGCGTTCACATTTTCCATCCTCCACTATTCACCATAAAGTTATCAAGTGTGCTACAAAAATATAAATTAAACTAAGAAACTAGGGCTGGACGATACGGCCAAAACATTTATCACGATATATTTCTTCATTTCGGTCAATAACAATATAATTTGATATCGATATAAACAATATAAAAGCCTCAGAAAACTGTATAAACTGTACAAATAAATTACTTAGTTGGAGATTAGCCTAGCCTAGCCTAGCCTGCTACCGCTAACGCCTTCTGGACTCGAGCTCTGCGTAACATCTACGTCACCACGCACTTACGTAGTTGTGTCGCACCTTTTTCTGTTCGGGTTGAAAATGAGGCGGCCACTTCAACCCAAACAGAAAAATAAATGCGTCAGTGAAACGCTGTAATCATGTCGAAATATCGGAAATGTGCTTAAAACTCATATCACCGTTATTGAATAAAAGTATATTGTGACATATCGATATCGGATTATTGTAAAAGAAACACCCTTCACTATTCGTTGTTTAAACAGTCAGTATGGTGAAGGCCTAATTAGTATTGACTGCAGCTGCGTTTTTGTTTTGTTTTTTTGCAGAGAAGTAAAGATTTCAGACGCTGTATTTTATTGAAGACCACAATAATAACTTTACTAACACTGATATATTTTACCTCTACATTAGATTTATTGTTTTGGATAAAGTTTTACATGGCAATAGCCTATGCTAGGTTATCTAAACGTTAGCTAGCTAACTTGAGAGGTGCGTAGCTAATGATAAGCGGGTTGGAGGATTGAAGATAATTTATTATTGTTGATTTAAAAAAAAATTTTTTTTACAGATGAGTTAAAATATATATTATTAATGTGATAAAGCACTGATTAGTCTCTGTAGAGATCTAGTAGAGTGTTGTATGAATGGGTAAATGAGGTCACAGATTGTAGCGTGAAGCGCTTTGAGTATTTTGATAGGATAGAAAAGTGCTGTATAAGTACAGTCCATGTTACACAGATATACAGGAAGTATCCTTGAACCTTGAAGCCCAGTCACATGAATCTACCACGCGCTGTGTGCGAAGCTTGTTTTTATACACTTCTCAGTTCAGCCAAGCTCACAGACTCAGAGGCGACCTTGGAGTGCCAGCTGCACCTGCAGCCTCAAGTCGCCTCCTCATCCAGCTCTCTCTGCTAACTCAAACATGTGCTTCATGGGCAGTCATTCTCAGCCATAGCAGTTAAAAACATCCATAAACTTTTAACGAAAATTCCCTAACAGTTTGACCAAAACGGCTACAAATATCATTTCCCATAACATAAGCTGCTCATAATCTAAAACTCTAACATGAAAGGTGACATGCAGTATTAGTTTGTATTTTAATGTTGACTTTGGTTTATAATGGGGTTTTGTATCTGTTGTCATGTTTGTGTTCCTCTGTGTTCTCCAGAGTTATGTTCTCATGCTGTACTCCACGCTGTCCCGTTCGCAGTATGATTACTCTCTGCCTCAGGTCTCCTTCACCTCCACCGGCTACCACAAGCACATCACCCTCACTTTCAATCCCACTGTGAGATTGAGTTGTTTTTTTAAATTTCCTTTTCAGGTTTTTTTTTGTTTTAAAACAAACAAAACAAAAACTGTGTCATTGTTGTGTTTCCGTCAGCGTAAATTGCCGGACCAGGATGTTGCCCAAGGCTCCTACATCGCGCTGCCTCTCACTTTGCTCCTGCTGTTAGCGGCGTACAACCACGAGAAGGTACACACAAACTTGACTTAAACTTTATTTTGCGACGGCCTCACCGACAACCTAACGGCCAGACCGGCTTACAGAAGGACGTCCTGATGTTGTAGATTCTTACATGTGTTGCTTTTTTGTTAATCCCTTTATTTAATGCATGAATGGTTTTAATTTTTCCATCCAGAAAGCCTTTCTTTAATCCCCACCGACTTGTTTTGTAGGTGATTCCCCTCCTGCTACAGTTGATGAATCGCATCCAGGGCGTAAGAAGCATGACCCAAGCCGGCACAGACAACGCTGCTTTGGATGAAGCTAAACGTCAGGCCAAGAGACAGAAAGCCAGACGTACATGAGGCGCGCCTCGCTTCACATCACCCTACAGTAAATTGAACAGTAGCATCGTGACCTCTGGCTCAGATAGTACTGGGCCACATTTCATCAGAGACTACGCTCATCTGGTTTGTGTGCTGGTGAACCGTTTAGCCTGTCGAGGTGTGGTTAGAAACCAGGTATAGACCACTCGACGTGCTACTCATCAGTGATTCTGATTCACTGCGCTCAAAACTGATGATTTACTTTCCCCCTTCAATCATTGCAAAAAATATCAGTTTCATATTTGTTATGGACATTTTTTTTTTTTATACGTTTGTAATTAATTTAGGTCAATTTAAAATTATGGCTTTCTCAAAGCACTTACATGCCTTTTTATGTCAGTCCTAACAAAGTTGAAGACTTTCAGACATGGCGTGTCTCTTATCAGGACTGGGATCAACTCAACAGATTTTATTTAGACTCTGGGTTCAATTTAAGAAAATCTAATCATATTAACCTAACTCGAATTTTTTTTATTTTCTTTTTATATTTGACAGACTGGGTTAATGACACAATATTTCAACCATGAAAATAAAATTATAAGCGAGTCGGAAAGGGCTCTGGAACTGACGGGCAGCTGAAGACATGGTCAACCCAAAAACTGCTTTTCAGTGTCAGTTGTCTCTTACGGTGGTATCTCACTGGGCTGCAATTGTTGGAGACTTAACTGGTGACTCAAAATTATGGAAAAAGAAAAAAAGAAATTAAAGTTGCAGTCACACTGAGTTCTGAATGTTTGCGACCAAGCAACCAGCTAGCCGTGCAGCCACATGTTGCACGGCACGTTTTTGAAAATCGCTGTCTATTTTTGCGTTCCTGGCAGAACTGTATTCCAGCCCATACTTTATGATTCAAGCTACTGGAGTTATTATTATTATTTTTTTAATGACGATAAACAGATTTAGACCAGTTTTTAAATAATTATCATCGGCATGGTTGACCCAGAAGTGTTTTCTGTCCTGCAAGCGTCTCCATGACTCATTTCAATTATCTTGAGAGAAAATTAGTTCAAACGTTCAAAATTCAAGCACCAGGACTGCAAATTTCTGAACTCTCATGAGGGAATTGAGAACTCCCACAGATGTTTTGAAGGTTTTCTTACGAACGCCTTTCATCCACTAGTCGCCAGCAGCTGCAGCCCAATGAGATAATGACCTTGTATGTACAGTAAATCCTGAATGAGCTGCTGCAGCACGCTCCTAATGGTCTAAATGTTCTGTGGGAGGGAAAACTGACCTAATGTCAGTTTTACCGTGCGCTCAGGAAAAGCTTGAACGCTGAGAACTTGTTTGATTACTGTGTGAGGACAAATTGTGTTTTTTTTCTGTAAATGACTGTGTGCAGCATAGTGGGAAGCTGGGGGGGTTACGAACAGTTGATTAATTTATTAACATTTTTAATCAGATGTGACTGAGAGCCCTGTTTTGATGCTAGGGAGCGTCTTTTGGTGTGATCTGTGCTTCTGAAGTTGTGTGTGATAAGCTTTTTTTTTTTTTTTTTTTTATAAGAAATTAGGGAAGACTCGTTAATATTTATGTCAACATCAAGAGTGAACTTTGGTAAAGCAGAGTTTTTTTTTGTTTTTTTTTACTAAGCTCAGTGTCCAACCACAGAGCTGTGCAAGATACTGTGAAAATGATGGACCTTGATTTTTTGCTGTATTAAAGCTTGTGGCTCACTTTCATTTCAGGATGAAACCGCTACTACTTAAATTAAAAACAAATTTCTGTTAGGTGGGTTGTGAAATACTGGGAGTTTGTCATTAATTGGTCTTTTTTTTTTTTTTAAATCAGGCCTGGCCCCAGCCCGTAGCCATCATTTCCAAACCCCACCCAAACCAATAAATTATCAGTAATTACAGGTCCGAACCCGAACCCCCCCCACCCCCCAACATTTTTAATTTAGCTTTGACTGCTTATATAGTTAACGGTCGGTGGACGTGCATAGCTGAGTAAAGGGGCAGAAGATCGAAGCTGAGGGGGTGTTTGTCCTTTCATGGCCATCAAAGTGCATTAAATCACTGATTCTGCCTGCATTCTGCATTATTCAGACACGGACCCTGCTCTGACATGTCGGATATTTTGGGATCTCACCTGTTTGTTGGCCACATGCATCCGCTGAGTGCAGCGTCTGAATGAACGTCCAGTTGGGCTACGATGGATCGCTGGCAGTAGTCCATCTAAAGCTTAACTGAACTTTTTACCTCTTTCAAGGCCGGTTAGCGTGCGGTCAAATGGCCGCTGCCATATAATTAGATCGTCAGCTGCACGTGTCCTCTGACGCAATCAAAAGCCTGGCACAGACCCGGCATGCATATTAAGCACATTGTTATAGAAATGACAGCTCTAGTTCAGAGCAAAGCCTGGTGGTTCAGAGTCCAGATGTAGGAGCCGGCTCGAAGGACCAAATTGTTTGATAAAAAATATCCTTTCATTATCTACTTACTTTAAAAGAGTCACACACAAAGACAGGAGAATAAGGCAGATGTTCACACAGGCTTACACAGGTGTTTTATTGAAGCCCCGGTCGCGAAGATCTGAAATGTGCAGTGTACAGGAAGTACTTTTTATACACGCTTATAAGCACGATGACCTCGGCCTCTTAGACTCTGAGGCGTCAGGTGCCTGCAGGCTCCTGTCTGAGAAGAACTCTGACCTCACACACATGGGTCAACATTAAATTAACACTAGCAGTGATAAACGTCCATAAACCTTTACCTAAATTCCCCGGACAATACAAGTGTAGACGTTTCGGAAAGGCGTGTGTTTGAATGACGAGCTTTTAACGACACTACACCACAACAGTATTTTTTCTGACATTTGTCTTGTTTGCATTTATTAGCAGATTTACACTTTTATTTCTTCCTAAATGTCTCCCTGAGATTTTACACTTCTCTAATTATGCCAGTTGTTTTCCTGCACAGACTCCAGCCAGCCTCATGCGAGTCCATCGTTTGGCACAAGCTCGCACCCAGTTTTCAACAGGTTCAGCCCAGTGCATTGTGTAAATTGATTGTGGAGCTGCATTTCAGAACTTCATCTAAGTGCACCCCGTTGCGGAGTGAAAGGGCGGAATTGGACACACCAGCTGTCCGTTTGTGAGTGCTATGTGATAACTTGAGAAACAAATGAGGTACCGACGTCTATTTTGGTGTATGGCTGCATCTAGGCATAAGAAAGGTTCCTTTGAAAATGGCATTGCCACTTCAAAATCCAAGATGGCCACCACAGTGTGTCCTTCCATTTGAGGAAACTATGGTTTCTAGTTTTTATATTGCTTCAAATTATCGTTTCCTCAAATTATAGTGGTGGCTGGTGGGGTGCCTGAAAATTAATATGTGGTGGCCAAGACCACCATAGATTGATCTATGGATATACTACTGGTATATCTGGGAAAACTACTGGACTAACTCCTTCAAAGGACACCATTTGACATAGTTCAAGTTAACTTTTTTCATATGTGATTACATATTTTCCAGTGAGTCCCTTTCTTCTTTCGGCTTTTCCCTTTTCAGGGGTCGCCACAGAGAGTCATCCTCCTCCATCGCACTCTGTCCTCTGCGTCTTCTGTCCTCACTCCAACTACCTCCATGTCCTCTCTAACTGCATCCATATATCTCCTGTGTCTTCTTCCTGGCAGCTGCATTTCTAACATCCTTCTACCAATATACCCACTGTCCCTCCTCTGGACATGTCCAAACCATCTCAGTCTGGCCTGTCTAAACTTTATCTCCCAGTTGTTCAACCAGTGCTGCACCTCTGATGATCTCATTCCTAATTGTATCCAGCCTTGTCACTCCCAAGGAGAACCTCAACATCTTCATTCCTGCCTCTTCCAGTTCTTCTGTATTTTTGTCAATGCCACTGTCTCCAGACCATACAACAGCTGGTCTCACCACTGTCTTGTAAACTTTTCATTTGACCTTTGCTGACAGCCTTTTGTCACAAATCACTTCTGAAACTTTTCTCCATCCACTCCATCCTGCCTGGACTCTTTTTTTTTTTTTCACCTCTTTACCACACTCCCTGTTTTCCTGGACAGTGGATCGCAAGTACTTGAAGTCCTGCACCTTTGTGAGTCTTCGGTGAGTCCCTTTAAAGTATATTAACTCATAGGTGTACTGAGTTTGCCCCTGTTGTTTCCTTGCTGCTCAACAATGTAATCTCAAATCTGATCCTCATGGACCACTGGAGGGAAAAAGACTTCTCCAGGACAGCTCATAAAGATGAAAGGCATCAAACGAGGAACAGACCTCAGGATGAAATCAGTTTATGACCACGCTGGATGTGACTCAGAGGAAGAGGTTGTAACCAACAGGAAGGTTTGTGGTTAGATCTCCTGTTTCCACTACTTTACTTTGAAGTGTCTGTTTTTACGAACCATAGAATCTGGCTTGAACTGTAAAACGCTGACAAGTCATCAGACTGTTAATTCAAGTCATTTACTGCAAGAGAAGTGTTAAATATGATGTTTCCTGAACGGCTCACATCAGCCAATAAGTATTAGCATTACTCATCAAGCATTAGAACCTCACAGCTGACATTTTGAACAGCAACATGAAATTACAGGTGCAGTCGTTTAACTTGCATTATCCTAAACGAGGAACAATTTAACTGACGACTGAGTGCCATTTCAGTGTGACAGACACACTTCATATAACTACAAGACATTTCACCCTCTTTAGTGCTGTCTGCTCTTTCTCAGCTCATATATTTTTTTTGCATCACACCGATTGTTCTAATTATTTTATTACTTTTGCAGAACGAGATAAAGGAGAAGTCGCTCATAATGTAACATTCATGATTTCACTGTGAACATGCAGTTTTGCAGACCAGTAAGGATGGCTTTTCTGAGTGATTAAAATAATTGTGTGGATATATTTAAATGCACCCAAGGTAAAATTTAGGTATATCAAATATGATGGGATTATTATGCATTAAAAACATTTATGCACTGTATTCTTAGTTTTCTATGCGCAAATAATGTATGAAAGATTTTGTGTTTAAAATTAACACCCTAAGACTTCAACTCAACAGTTAATGTCAAAGTTTTACGCAGATGTTGTAGCACTTAGAGTATGTGTTGTGAATTAGTCCTATTTAACGTGCTAAACTTTAACTCAACATTTAATAAAAATTACTAATCAAGCCAGTTTGTGTTTGCTAAGGTCACTTAGCTGTGGCGGCCATCTTACATTGTGTTGACTCA